GGAAGAGAAACTTCAATTTTAAGTATGTGCTCGGGGAAAAAGAGGCTCCAATTTTTTGGATCATAACATTGCATAACTGTCAATCCACATTATTAATTCTTACATACATAACAACCCACATATGGGACGCGTTTAAGGGAAAAATGATGTTTATCGCTTCTTAATATCGTACGATTTTTTTATTTAAATATAATCGTTTAAAAAACGATTAAAAAGTTTTAAAAAGATTAAAAGCAGAATTAAAACAGTTTATATGTTTTATAAAGCAATTTATATATTTCGGATGTATTATTTGCATCAGGAATAAATATTTTATTTTACACTTAAAGTAAAAATCAAGTAAAAAATATTCAATTATTCTTTACTTACGTATTGAATTTATTTTTAATTAAAAGCAAACTTACGCAAATTGGTTTTAATTGTGCAGACAGTCAGAATGGCAAACAGCTATTAAGTTGTGCTACTTGATTTTTCATGGAAGTCAATACAATCAACCGGCATTCGAATCACAAGAACAAATGAGACGCCGAATGCGACGACTAATTACATCCGCCTTCGAAGGCTCTTATATCGATAGGATTTGCCGCGAGGACGCTTTGACGGGACGAAACTTTCTCGCGGTGACTTTCTTGGGTCCGTATTGTGCTTGTTCGCCGCTTTTATATCGTTCGAGAGTATTTTTCTGCGACGTAATTCAAGGGCTAAGTCGTCGCATCGCTTTCTCCCCAGGTTCGTAAAATCGGCAAGCCGAGAGAGCCTTTCGCAATACTCCGCGTCGCCCCGATTAAGTTGTATTCTGTAAGTTATTACATATTTTTACGCGCGGCCTCCTCGCATTTTCGTGTACCGTCGCGGCGAGCTGGCCTCGCGGTCGCAAGAAATATATGATCGCTCGTAACGTTCAATCAGACTCACAGAGGAGTCTGCTTTTACGAGCACGAATTACGGGGACTCGAATGAGAAAACTTTGGTTGCGTTATATCTCTGAATATACCGTGGAGCGGAAAATCGCCGCTTGCAATGTTACATTTATGAGTGCAGAGCGTGGCTTTTCACTGTCAATGTGAGGCATCATCTTTATAACTTCCACAGTGCAATTTTACTGCACTACATATAATTCATTTGAAAGGAAAATATATTAATCTTCACGAAGAATTTACGCGTAGTAAAGATGTACCGTTGCAATCGGATCTATTATTAATAATAAACTTAAAATATTAAATTTTGTGTGTATACAAGAAACAGTAGTGGAGCGCAATCAAACATAATGACATCAAATTAGAAGATAATATGTGAGATGCTTTGCAAGAAAACATTTTACATGTGACGATAAAGCAATTAGACAGCTCTTCAAAGATGTACGAAATGTTCGCTGCTCGTGGCTTCAACAAGGAACACGCATTATTCCGTAACATGGTACAGATGCGCCGAATAAGCTTAACTGGCGTGCAAGCTCCATACATGCAATACAGCTTATATTCACCGAGACACTAATACATTTAAATTTATACACGTTCGCAAGAGAAACTGGATAGGTGTAAATTAAATGATCACTTAGACGTTGTTGCGAGAATATATAGGATGTTATCAAACAATTATGAGTTTCCTCGTTAATTTAGTTTTGCTGAAAATTTTCTTCTCACAATTAGTTAAAATTTTATAATAAAATGCCACTTTATTGCACTTAAATATGTGCACAATTGTATAATCGTAAGCCTTAAATTAACATATCACTAAAGGAAAGTTTATTGAAAATTAAATAAGAGATGAAACTTTTAAAATAAAGTTTTACTTGAAATTTAATAAAGATTAAAATTTCTATTAAAGTAAAATATGCTGAAAATTGAAAAAGAAATGAATCTTTACGTTTCTTGAGATTTAATCCACAAAAGTGTATTGAGTTTTAAAACTTTATACTATCTCTTTGTATCAGAAACTCCCTTAGAACTATTAATGTGTTAAACAAAAAATTATTTATTTAAAAAAAACTTGTCAATCAATCTGAAAATATGGCAATGAGCAAAGACACGACAAAAATAGAAATACCAGCTGAAGTCGAATAAAATAACACGCAAGGTATGTGAGTTGTGTTGAAACACGCGGCTCCTGTATAAATATGTTCTATGGTTACGCAAATGTTTCGATTGAAATTTTTACAGATGCGGTTTAAGACAAAATTCGATTGAACGCGAACGCCGCTGTCATTATGTCAATTACGTCAGGTGCACGATGTCACGGGTAGATCTGCAAAGAAAAGAAAATAGAACTAGAAAAAGAGTTGTTTTCACTCTCTCTGCCGTTCCGTGGTAGCTTAATTTTATCGGACGCCCGTTTCCAGCATCGCGTCAATGACCCCCTCTCTCCCTCTCTTTTTTCTCTCCGCCAAGCTCTTTTTCTCTCGCGGCTTCAGCTCGAGGCGCATTCCTAGTAAAAATAAGCGAGTGGCGTGGTTTCTGCAATCGCGAGAGGAAAGCGTCGCAAGAGAAGGGAACCTGCCGTCATCGTTGTCGTCGTCGTGGTTTTAATGCACGCGATGCAACTGTCTAGACTTCAGGGCGCGATATACGCGACTGCGAGAAGACGCGGACAACGAAATAATACGAAAGAAATTAGGCGAACGAAGACCACTATAATTATGAACGAAATATTCTTTTAAATTTAATATAATGTAATTCTATACTCTTGATTTATTGAATTTTTTTCTAAAATTTATTTATTCCTTATTACTGTCACCGATAATGATAAATGTTTCTACTTCTGTCAGTATTACTTATATTTATTTTTTCTCTGCTTCTTTATAAATTTATAAACGATTTAAAATTTAGTTTCCCTGAATAAAAGTTTGTATCTGATGCATAAAATTTTTTTTTATACAAAATAATAAAGATAAGCTGATATAGGAAGGAAATATACATTTCAGAGAGCTCCTACTTTGCATTATCGATTACTGAGATGTCTACTATAAAGCTTAATACCAAAGCTTCTTCCCGATAAATTTCTCATTAATCAGTATTCTAGTAATAGAAATGAAATTACTCTTGGCACTTGATAAATCGCAGAGGTATAATCCGATAGGGCAGGTGTGTGTTTCTCCTAAATCCGGCCATAATGGAGCTGGGTTGACTATATAATTTGTGCGAGAAATGCATTTCTGTTTCTCCAACTCTCTCGACAACGGCGACAGATCTCTCGACGATCCCTGTAGCGACGGCGCGGATATAGAACAAGTTCTTGAATTGCAGCTGAAAGGCGAGTGGTGGCTATTGACCGGTCGCGCTGCGAGTGAGCCTTATGAGTTCTATGACTTCTCCCCGGCGTCTAAATTTATCTCGTCGTAGTAGAAAACGCGATGACGATCTACGCAGATGATGACGGTGGCGCGCGTAATAAGTTACCGTAGATCGGGGTTACTTTGATCCGAGGCGCGAGTCGCTTTCTTAATGAGACTTACCGTCGATATTTTGTGCAGCCATTCTCTTCTTGAAAGCAACTGCGCGTTTCATCGAGCAGTCTTTTGCCGTAAATTGATAGACAAGGAGAAAATTGTGAGCATAATTATCAGCGTTCTGAATCAAAAGGTATATTTTAATAATATAAAGCTTACAAAGTTCTCTCACATAACTTTGTAATACATAATTCCCATTTTCCTTTAAATATGAATTCAATACATAGATTAGATATTTGTTATTATCACATTATTCGCGACTATTCGCTCGATTTTCCATTTTTTTCCTCCCCACGAGAATAGTTGAAACATGCGGATTGCATAATATCGCAGGACATTCCGCATTATTGCGCGCAGCTTCATCTGATAATAAAAACAACGTACTCCAATATTCTCACCATGCGCGCGAGGAGAACCGTACGTTCGCAGATAATTTTGTGAAAGCAAATACTGAAAAGAGGAAAAAGATCGCTCGCTGTTGGTGCTGCAATCGTGCGCAATCACTACAAGAAGTGCGCAAAAATAAGAAGCGAATCTAACATCGGGATTTTCCATTACACTTCCCTAAAAGCGTAAATAAGAACTAGCACTTCTTATCGCGCTTTTTTTTTCTTTCTTTCCCTCTCTCTCTTTTTCTCTTTCTCTCTCTGCATAAATTCTGACGCGCGAATGATAAAAAAATGTGCAAATGTGAAATTCTGTGTGAATTCGTTGGGCGGCATGCGGTGCTTACGAAAAAAGAAGAATCGTTCATGAATATATTGAATGGAACGCGGTGATGGACAGTATGCAATTTAGTTCAAAATTTAGTTTTAACAGGTAGTTTATCAAATATTCGTTTTAGCATAATTTTGCATTCAAATTTGAAAATTTGCTAAATCCAAAGGAGGAATATTTTTATGCGAAATAATGTTGTTTGGATTGTAAGCAAGAGCGATTTGCTCGAAACGGAAATACTGTGATTGCAAATGCACGCGATCGTATTTTATTATATTGTCTTTCTGCTTTTTCTATTCAAACTGCAAAATCTTTGCGCTCTTTTGATTAAACTACGTTAACTTGAAGTATTTTAAAAAGAGTAACTTTTAACGTAACAGCGTTTATGCTGGAAATTTCATCTTGGCATAAGCTTAGTCTAATGCTAAATAGTCTTTAAAATAGTGTCTTATTCATATTCCGAATATCACGCAAATCATATAATTATTATTCAAATGCATATACAGTTTTAAATAATGTTAAATACAATGTTAATTTATATAATGGCTTAGAAATTAAATCTTTAAATTACTGTTGCTTATATTTTAAATATAAATATGAAAACCATATATACACAAATGGAAAATATATTTTCAATACAAAGAAAAATATTTCTACATTTCACAAAATAATAAATATTTGTAAACGTTTCACGCGTCTGTTGTAACGAATTTTTTACAATTAGTTTAACGATTTGTAAACGGCAATTGTACCGGAAATTAAATGTCATACACGAATACATATATCCGTGCGCTGTTTCGCAATTTCCTGTTGAAAAAAATGCAAAAGCTCTACTCACCTCGTAGAAGTAAAACGAGTCAATCTCCTCTGTCGTGTTGACGTCCGGCAGCGATGTGACGTTGATATAATCCAGCAAGGGGTACAACTCGTCGGTGATGTTCCTTAATCCGGCGGGCCAATCCGGATCGAAATCAGCTGTCTGATTTCGATCGGCTGTGCGCACCTGGCTCGCGTCTCCGAGCATGTTCATTCCGATCGAGATTCACACGATCTGCCGCTCAGATTTCCTTTCCGCGAACTTCCCATGAAAGAGTCATGACTTCGGCTAAATGTCGGCCGACTTCATGTCCGCGACGCGGATTCCTTTATCGCAAGGAGACGCTTTCACAGTAACTTTAACTCGTTGTCCGCTTTGCGCTAGTTATCTCCGAACGAAGCAATCACAAGAGTGCAGGAGAGATCGACGACGTTCCGTTTTTGCTTTTCCGCGACTCACTCGTTACACTAGGAATAATTGAATGACTCGGTCGAAACATGTTTCAAACGAAATGAAACGCGCGCGTGCGTCCGTCCGGGTTTCATTACGACAATATACGAGCGGAGAAAATTATGTTTCTCGGGAAACTCAATATTTAACATCACTCATTCACAATTGTGCTCACTAGTGCTGAGTTCTTAAGTTCCGACAGTGAACAATTTGCGCACAATAGACACATAAATTTTCGAGATTATGAGTTAATGATGTTTATCAAATTTTGTCCGCAGCATAAATTTTCAAGAGATTGTGAGTTAATGCATTTGATGTTTATCAATTTCTGTCTCCAGCTAAAATTCTGTCTGCAGAAGTAGTGTAACTACCGAATTATTGATAAAGAGATGATTTTATTCAGTATGTATTATATATTTTAAAAATTCATAATAATTAAATATGTCAAATATTAGAGAAAGAAAATATTTCTTCAGATTTAACAAAAGTTTGCATTAAAAATTGTAAGCGTAAGTGCAAAACTGTAAATAAAGTAGAAAATAAATGAATATAAACGTATGTATTAAAATTGGCAATTTTCAAACATCGTATGACGATATCATATTGTTTAGGAATTCCTAAAAGAAATTTTAATTTTTCTTTTAAGAATTCCTTTATCTAAATAAGACATTTTAATTACAATCTTCACAAAAACAGCCGTACTTTACGGCAAGATAAATTACTAATTGCACCGATCGTATCGTATTGTACCAGGCGGCTAAGAAAAATTAGTTGATATCGCGAAAATTTAAGCTCGAATCGTCTCATTGTTTGCTGAAAATTTGGCACTGTGTCGTTTTGCACTTTAAAAATTTGCCGCGCGGAAAAGTAATGACTTTTAAGATTTTAACTTTTTGTTCCGATGTTTACCGGATACTACTTAACGAAATAGCCGCTGTCAGCTTCAATTTGTACACTATTGAAAAGTGTCACGGTCAATTTTATACACTCGCGGTTGAACGCTGAGTTGGATGAGATCCTGCTTTCTAAATCTTGGCGAAACAGCCGAATGATATATCGCGACGACTTCGCAATGCATTACCGCGTACGTATTAGTAGCAACACCGGTTAACAAGTGCACAAGCAACGATTGTGCTCGCGAACACTAAGCAGAATCTTCGTGTCGTATAGCACTGTCTTGACGGACGGAACATTAATTTCACACGGCAATTTCATCTTTTGTCACGAGAGAGTTGATTAAACTGGTCGCAAGGTGGTCGGTTTCTGTAGAAAATGGATTATCGAATTTTCTCTAAAGAGACTTAGAGACTTGGAGACTAAAGGACTTAGAACGAACTTTATCGTAACTCATAAGTAATGGTATTTACAATGACTCACATGACTTCGCGTATAAAGTAATTTCATAATATGCAATATTCATAGATATAGTTCTTAAAAATTCATTACAAATAGGATTTTTTCTGATTCTATATCAATAATAATTGCGATATCCGTATTGCGATAATCATTGATTCCAATTTTGTAAATTAGATTTTACATTTTTTAACATGTCATACAAACTTGAAAATTCCATGAATGTCAGTCGATGATGTGATAGAAGCGTTATCGTTTATAATATTAATATCATTGAAAAGTTTCTTTACCGTACTCATAAGTAATGGTATTTACAATGACTCACATGACTTCGCGTATAAAATAATTTCATAATATGCAATATTCATTATAATCATATTAACTTTATTCATGTTAACAATTATTATTGTATAGACAAAATGTCTGAAAGATGAATGTTGTATCATAGTAATTTGAGATATAGATAACACTTGAAGTCAATATGTTCTCCGCGGCGTCATTTGATTTAATGATTCGGTCAGTTAGCGTGGCATCTCGTTTTCACTACTGTCAAAAAACTGTCGGGCCACAGCGCGCAGTTACTACTAATTAATTAAGAAGCGTGATGCCTCTATCTTATTTTCTCAAAACGGATCTCTAAGAAACGTTTATTTTTAGTGACTGCTCGTTTGTTTTGATTATCTACTCGTAAAATCTTGGCGCGCCATGTGATACATTTCGTATATTTCTGGGACACGTTAATATGCGCGTTCTCATCGTTTGGCGGCGTAGTAAAAACAAAGAGAAAAAAAAAGATCAATGCGAATTGAAGTTGTTCGGTCCGTTTTAGTGGCGTTAACGGTGATTTTAGTGGCATTTAAACCAAGAAGATATTAGAGTCTTGTTAAACAAGATTCTTCAAGCGATATGTCTGTCTACGTGTATAGAAACTTTTATCTTTTTGATACAGCTTCACAAACACGTAATGTGAAGATTTGCGATTTATATCCGTCAGTTAAACAAAATTATAGCAACAATTAGAGACAATTTAAAAAAGGAGGATTTCTCTGTTTGTTATACAAACATATCAAGAGAAATATGTGCATCCAATAAACTCAAATGACAAACATATTATTAATTAAATTATTACAAATATTATAATTCCACAATTTTCACATTATTCACATTTAGGACAAAGCTTATTCGTATATAAATAATTATATTAATATGAATATATTTTACATATTTCTAAAAAACAATTTTATATCGGATCTTTCAAGATATTTTTTTGATATTCGCCAAGATCAGTCGATCTTTTTTATGCTTAAATCAATCAATATTCCGTCTGACAAGAACCAAGTTTGTGCATTTAAAAAAAAATATGATTGCTTCCCAATTCTAAGATTAATGACAATATGAATATGCTCCGCGTGGATATTCATCATACCTTCATCGGCATACAATAGCAATCACTTGAAAAGTAACTTATAAAAAGTTCCGAGATACAATGTCAAGAACCGTGCTCGCATTTCTGGAGCGTTTGTCCGTCACGCGCTTCACTGTCCTAATTAATCCTCTCGGGGCTGAAAATAATTTCCCGAGTGCAGCCTGCTTCTAATCGTTCTTCCTTTTTTCCTCGCGTCAGTTTGGAATGAAAGGCGCGATTGCGCCACGAGAATAGGAATTATTATTATTCCCCGGCACGAATATTCCTCGCTAATATGATTTTTATGTCGTGATAATTCGCGAGAATTCATAGCACAATCGAAAGCATCCGACGGATATATCAAAAGAACGAAAAGGCGGAAGCTTTTGTCGGTTCTCTAGTGTATTGAAATGGAAAATGTACACTCGAATGACACTTGTAAATTGACGTCGCGATTCGAAAATCTAAACGGCAAACAAAAACGAGAAATTCTACGCTCGGCAAAAATTATTGCCGCAATTGTACAAGAATAGCTGTTAAATGCCTATGTTGCTGCTACATGAAATCTACATCTGATTCATATGTTTTTTTTATGCATACAGATAATATCAGTTCGAGTTTTATTTATAGAACCGCGAATGTAACGCGGTTAAAAATGCATCATGTATTTCCGTGACATTTTATTCAAAAACGTATCATAAAAGAAATAAATTAAAAATTAACATCTATTATTCGTATCACGATTTACATTGTTTTATTCTGACAAGTAATCCAACAAATAGAAGAGTATAATTATATTTGGATGTAAAATTTTTGTTTTTCAAATATTATTTTATTGTTAAAAACACATATCTAAATCTCTTATAAATTTTATAACAGGCAAAGAGAGTTTTGGTAAGATCAATTTACTTTAGACAAATTGCCGTGTTGTCTCACAGTTATGGATAAACATAAAGATCAATTTTGAGTGTTTGTTGTCGAGATCGTAACTGATTGAAAACCATACCAGCTTTAATTCCTATGCTACACGTGCCGTGACGGTATATTCGACGAACGATTAGTTTTAATCGCTCAACAAGTATTGGACTAACTATTAACGGTTTCATCAAACGTTGTTTACTTGCAATATCAAAAGCAATATCAAAAGCAATATATATAATTTCGGTCAAAGGCAGAGGTATGATACTTGTGTAACACATCGATTTGACACCGACAACAACAATTCTCAATTTTATACATTATATTTTTAAAACTTTTTTATGTGCCAATAATAATGTGACAGCGAGTAAAATCGCAATTTGTGCAATACTTTATATATGAAAAATTTTAAATTATCAAGTCATACATAAATTATTTTGGCAAAAAATTAACTTGTTAGCAAATTTCATAAATACGATAATAATTTGATATTAAACGCAATCATAAAAAAGATCATGATACGAGGTCGACATGAGCAATAAATTAACATATATCTACATAAATAAACATATTATAAATTTATATATATAATATAATTTACTCATAATCGGCCCGTAATATCGAATCCAACATCATCAGAAAAAAAATCATGCCTCGCTAGACACGATTGTTTCGGTAATGAATATCGAATTTTATTATATTGCAGTAACATGGAATTAATGCCCGATGGCGAAACTATGATATCCGGTCACGTATGTGTTTCTTATTATAAGTAGCCACATGAATCGATTTACGTGTAACAGGATTATCTGCTCATATCGCGGAAATCAAGGGGATCTTCTCGAAAAGTTACGCGCCGCAATATTTTACTACATACGTACTCACGCGACTCTGTTTTGAAAGAAAGAAGGAGAAAATATTTCCTCAAGTAGAAGTGACTTATTTTTCGACAAGATTGTCCACGACAATGTCTTTGTTGGCAAAAGAATGGAAATCCTATGATTTCTGCTATGTGCACCGTTGAATTCAGCGGACGCGCCTGATGCTGACAGCAAATTTCAGGAAAGCAGTTCGTAACATCCTTTCCTCTCCTATCTCTCTCGCAAAATCCACGGATAATATTTTACGCAAGGTTTATTAAAACGTTTTATTTGCAGATTTACCGACATATCTATTCCGCGATTTATTTTTATTTATTCACTTGCGTATTGCGTAAAATATATTTTTGCGACGTAAAAAGTATTACTGATAAAAATAAAATAGATATGCAAATTATAAAAATATAGAAAAATTTTTGAGGAGACTGCTATTTATCTTTTTGTATCTTTTATAGGAATAAAAATAATATTGAAATATAAATTATTTCAATAATTAATCGCACTATTTTTACACTGTTTATTTGCGGGATTATTTTACACGTTTGATGCACACAGTATATATCATGGATTTTATACAGAAGGAAAACAGATTTTTCCAAAAAATGTAACTATATATGTTTTTAATATTTGTTTCTTGCTATCATAGTTTTGTATTTCCACGTAATTATATTTAAGAAATTATATAAATCTCATGCATTGT